TGTATGTGTGTGTGTGTGTGCGTAGAGGATGTGTGTTGGACTTGGGCACGGAAACAGGATTCACCGGGACCTGGATCAGCATGTCGAAGGAGGCCAGCTGCGTCTTCGCCTGCCGGCAAGCAGACCACAGGCCCACTCATAGTGAGAGCTTCCATTTACAAGCCCTTCTGAAGGCTTCTTCACGAATGTGCAGGGCTCCATCCAAAGAAGGAGGCCCCGACGTGCCCCCAATGCACCTGGCCTTGGGGGTGGAGGCCACCAGACCATCCTCCATCTTCAACAGCGCCGTATCCTTTGGAAGGTCGAGATTTGGAGCTTGGGCTTCTGGAGGCCGGAGGTTTGAAGTTCGGGACTCTGTCTGGGCTTCATGGGGCGGGCTTTATGTCGGGCTTGGGGAAGCCAGGGGCTCAGATGATGCCATGCCTCCCAGGGAGCAGATACTATGAAACACTCTATTGGCTACCGTATACTGGAACCAAACCATAAAGGCAGTCCCGGCCTGAGCAGAGTCTCCACCAACGATGCTCCAACGTTGCCCAGGGTCCGACTCATTGCACATCTTCAGCGTAATGGGCTTGCAAGGCCTCGGTGAGCATCGCGATGGCATGTAGGAGTGTTGTCAAGCAGATTACCGCATGTTGTAGTACAGTAATCAGGTATAGTATAGTATAGTATAGTATGGCATGGTCTAGTACCTCAGTGGAGAGCATCTTAGGAACTATGGGAGAAGCCGGTCCACCCACATTGAGCAAGTCCATACGATACTTTTCTATACTATACTATAAGTACAGTATAGCATATAGTTAAGTACTGCACAGTATGGGCCGGTATCTTCGGGCCCCCTTGGCACCCGACGCCCCCACATTCGCTGAATAATCCACTGCCAGACCTGGGCCGTTGCTCCGCGCATCGGCAGGAAAAATCCGAAAAAAGACTACCCACCAAGACCTCACCTCGCCTCTGCCCTTGGTCTCATTGGCCTGCTTCTTGCTCAACAGGAGTATGCGGACTCTCCACAACGGAGCCCCGAGCCTATCAAGCTCTTGGCTTTCCGTTGGGATGTCGCCGCTCACTCAGGCAGAAAATGACCCAAAATTACACATAATGGCGGCTGGCAAGCTCCTGCAAGATACCATCTCTCATAGCATCCCGAAGAGCCCAACATGCTCTTAATAACGGAAGAAGATAGTATCCCTACTCGTGCAAGGTTTCGACAGCTTGCGGTTAAATTCGCCTGCCTGTCTTGAATAGCATCCCGAAACGCTCCGGTCTCCAAGTCAGAATCCTGATTCCTTGAAAGCGCGTGCCCCTTCATGGTTTGTGGTGGTAGTTGTCGTCATCGCCGTAGTAAGTGCAGCAAAAACACTCGGAGCAGAGGGAGTCAGACCAGGACTGGAACTACTGTAGGAGGAGAGCAGGACCTGCTCTCTTGCTAGGAAAACCATGAACCGGAAGAAGGCCCTCGACAAGCGGCACTCCATGAGATCAACAGCAACCAGAAGCGTTCGGGACCCCCCACAGCGCTCCGCAGGCGAGGCCGAGCGTACCAAGGGGCCCTCTGGGTAGAAGTTCTGCGCCCAGTCCTGTGCTTGGGCTGACATACCTAGTGTTCAAAAGCTCCATTGGCGGGCACCAGTCGATGAAGATGAGGTTTGCTGTGTCCGAAGGGCTGCGGCGTCAGAAGCATGAGTTCCATGTCCGGGCCTCCTCGTTGCAGGGCTGGAGGCTGGCGTCGCTGATGGGGTTCTTCCTGCTCTGCCAGAGCTCTGCGAGAATGCGGAGATTTGCTGAGCTTCCCTGCCTGCAGCTGACCTCGTGGCAGCCCATGCCCATGCTGTCGCGTGCCCCCAGGGAAAGGCAGAGCCCTTCATTGCCTCTGAGCACAGGCGCCCCGAAGTGTTGGCCAACTCTGAACAACCAGGAGCTGCCTGCGAACTGGTACGTGAAGAGCTTCCATCCAGAACGGTAGCTCATGCGGTCGCCGCCCTGCAACCAGCACAGCATCTCCAGCAGAACACCCGATACCCGGAAGACCGCTCGGCCTTGCAGAAGAAGTAGAGCTGCGCCTCGACCCTGTGGACGCTTCAGAGAAGTTCAGGGTAGGCTTTTGGGACTGTTTTGAGGGTTTCGTGCTGCTGTAAAGCTGAAGTAGATCTCTCCGGAAGAAGTCGGAAGCCGACGTCGGGCTGGGCTTCGGGCACGTTGTCCGAGTCCGTGTCATTGCTCTTCACACTGGCTTCTTTCCTCACCCTGCGACAAACGGATCGGATCGGAGTGGGAGCAAGAACTGGGTGCTTATCCCTCAGACCGCCTGATTCTGAGGTGCTCTGGCGAGGGATCCAAGACGGCATTGATCACCGCGCCAGTCTCAGTGAACCCGAACCACGGAAGACGTAAAGAACCCCGATTACCGCCAAGCATGTAAAAAGCGGCCAGAGGCCAGAGGGCCCCACAACGCCGATGTTGACGGGCGGATTGACGGGATTGCCGATGGGCTCCTGCACCTCAAACCTCCGCTCGGGTGCTCCGGAGACTCTGGGCTCCAGCATCCCCAACAATCATGTCTTCGTGTGAGTGGGGCCACATATTCAGTCACTGCCCCACAGCTTGGTCCCGGGCGTCACACTGCTTAAGACGCTGCCATTCGTCCTCGGTTGGCATCCACTTGGCACCCAAAAGCACTGCTGCAAGCTCACGGATCAAGACCTCAGGAAGTTGGCACCCAAGTATGCGAAGAAAACGAGAACAGTGCCAGCCTTCCTATCATCAGAAAGATTCCTCTTTCGTGCGAAATCGAAGTGCTGGCAAGCCTCAGCTCCTTCTCGTCATACTGGTACAGCGGCTTGGGTGTGTACCTTCCGACCCATGGCACTTCGCAGAACGACGGCTTTGGGACAAAAGCGGCCCGAGTCACCTCACAAAGCCGGAAACGCGGCTGCAGCCGCCGCCCGTCAGCTGCAGCGTGTTCACATCCTGAGGATCCAATGTAGGGTTCTTAACAATTCGGCTGTGTGTGTTGTTGCAATCCTTCTCGTACTGTAAACTATATGCCTAGGTAGATGCTAAAGACGGAATCTTAGCTACAAAAGAACCAGGCTCCGGCTGCCTGCTCATCCCTTCAGCACAGCCGAAAAAGAAATTCCAAGTGCAGGATCCCTGGAATCGCAACTGGGAAACCCCCCCCCCCCAAAAAAANNAAAAAAAAAAAAAAAAAAAACTCAGAGTTTCACCTGCCCTCCTTTCAGGGCCAGGTCTAGATTTAGGGGGGATCTGCTTATCCGGCCAAGGATCAAGATCATTTTCTCCACGCGACGCCTCCCTCGCGGGGTCCCCGGCTTTCTGGCGAAGCAGAATTCTGAAGGGAGATGCTCCGGAATCACCCATGCGAAGACTCGGCATCTCTTCTTTGCCCATAGTCATCGGGCTCGTTAAATGATAAGACCCTATAAAGCACTTCCGAAAAGCCTCACAGAACTCTTTTCAAGCCTTCTTGCACCTTGGCTTCCTGGAAACATCTTCGAGGCTCAAAGACACCTGTCCCGTGGCCTCCGACGGCTTCATGATCACCACGTTGTCCTGCAGGGTTTAAGGCCGTGCTTTCGGTTGTGGGAGTTTCGGTTTTTGGGCTCAAGGTTCAAGGTTCCCGGGACTCGGCTAATGTCTCAATACCTTTCTGCAGCCTGCGCATTGCCATGCAGAGGTGTAGACTTAGGCTCTGTATGACGGCCTGCATGTATGTATGTAGGTACCTTGATGTACGTATGAATGGAGGTGGGTCAGTGGGAGGTTAGGCAGGCAGGCAGGCCGGCAGATAAGTAGGTAGAAAGAGAGAACACAGATACATAGGTGCGCGGGTAGGTCGGTCGGTAGGTACGGGGGCACGTGGATGCGTCCACATGAAGGTACCTACGTAGACATATGTATGTGTATATAAACACTTATAGGCGTGTGTGTGCACTCGTGGTATGGTTTCGATTCCCTTCCAAGTACCTAGAGGAACACAGTCGGTCATGATATACGACCATAACACATGTTGTGTAGTATGTAGATATTGGTGACGACAGCCTGCCCAACAGGCCTTCAACACTTGCAAGGAGCTGCCATCGCTGGAGTTGTCGGAGGCATTTTTCGGGAAGGCGCCTCGGGTGACCTGGTGGCTGCAGACATCTGCGGCAACTCCATGCGCATGCCTTGTTCAGAAGCATTCAACTTTGCACATGTACAAACACTAAGGGCCAGGCAGGTGTATGCTTATGATCACACGTGCTTCTGCTTGCATGGACGGTTAGAGGCATCAAGATGTCTAAGTCAAGTCACCATGAAGTGGCCATCGTTGATCAGATGAGCGAAATTGTACACGATGTATTTGGGATCCTGACATGGGGTGTTCTCCCTTGTGGGGCTGTTGGCCAGGCTGGTCCTAACCGTTTGAGTGAGCCTAGCTCAAACTAGCCGTGCTGTTTGACTCTGCTCACTTTGCCCGTCCGCGGAGAAGTCTTAACCGGCGGTCTGCGGCTACCATGCGTACCAGCAATTCTCCAACTCCACGAGTATCGGATGTTCAGTTCAGGTATCATCTTCCCAGCAGAATAAGGATGGCGCATTTAGGATTCTGCAAGAGTCTTCCGATAAGGGATTTTATACGGGTAAGACGGCCTTGGTCTTCCTGACGATCACGTCGTCGATGCTGGTACATGCAGTGCCACCTGGGTTTAGGGCTGAGGATCTGGAGGTTTATGGTCGAACGCTTGAGGCTTTTGGGGTTTTGGGTTTCGGGTTCTAAGCAGACTCATACCCAAAAATACACCGTAATCGGCTGGAAAGTACCAAACTACCGGGAGATTCAGAATTAAGCAACCCGACTATAGATGTTGACACAGCACAATCTATCTTCAGGCACGCCCGAAACTCAAGAAAGCCCCACAAAGTAAAGATCCGAGGGCGTGGCCGGTGTAGAAAAAAATCCGGGACTTGTTCCCCGCAGCGATGAATCTTGGAGAGGGCTTTCGGGGAGCTAGTCTGGGTGTGCGTCGAAAGAAACATGCCATGGGAGGTAAACGCGAGCACAATCTGCTATATTATTTTGTAATTAGTATATGATCCTGTATAAAAACTGTAGATATCTTGTAGTATCTTGTATTATACACTGAAAGGGCCAAGGACATCCTCGACTGGCGTTGCTATCTTCGCCGGGCCCGGTGCGTGTAGGGGCCTTTCGTCTGCCACTGGCCTTTGGTTGGCTCCTCTGGGCTGGGGCAAAAGGTCCAGGGGCAGCTCCGATTCGAGATGCAAGGGTCCGTATCATACATGTACTTATCCACATGCACAGATACACGGACGACAGATGTGGAATCAATATGTCAAAGACATATTGATATATGCACAGATATAATATACACATATTTCTGTCTGTCTATGTGTAGACACACATGTGTATGTGTGTATATATATATACATATATGAACACACAGCTTATGTATTTGCTTGTCCACGGATACTTTCTTGCTGGCATCTTCTCATTGCACCCTAAACCCCGAAGCCTAAGCCCAAACCTTAAACCCTAAACCCCCAGGCCGAAACCCGAAACCTCTCTTTCCCCCCGACCGCCTTCGCCGAGTTGGAGGTGGACGCCTCCTCGTCCAGCACAGGGTGGCCTACCGGGCTCTGCACCTCGACCTCAGCTCTTAGGGTTTTTTGGGTTTAGGGCTTTGGGGCTTTAGGGTTTAGGGTTTAGGTTTTAGGGTTTTTTGGATTTAGGGCTTTGGGGCTCAGCATTGGGCCATGGGGCCATGGGGTCAAGTTGCAGTGTAGCTTAGAGTAACACAACGGTATATGCTGGTACGTTAGATAGCTTACAGTATATTGCAGCATGGCTTGATGGATACTAAACGGGCGGACTCTTTATGAAATAGCTACATTCCTAGGGCAAAAGTCACGGGCTTTCAGGCTTTCAAGGACCAGGCCTAGGGCACTCCAGCTCAAGAAGCTTTGAGGTCTTTGTTGGCCTCCCTTTTTCCATCTGCGGTGTCTCCCGAAGCCGGAATGCCAGTTTGGCTGAGGGAGTCGGTGGCAGGAGGCTGCTGATGAAAGGGGATTCCTTCCTTGCACCACATTAACACGTCCCCGTTCAGGGTTTAAGAAATCGGTTTGGGGCTCATGTAACGGTTTCTGACTCTTTGGTTTCGGTTTTGGGGTTGGTCCCAAGATGCTTGCTCTGGTTTGGACTGGCAGCTGGACCGGTGATCATGTGCACACATGCTTACATCTCAGCTCGGGAAGGCACCCAGCTCTTCTCAATCTTGCTATCCTTCTTGTCGAAGTAACCATCGATCCTTGGACGACTCTGGACTCTGCATTTCGCGTGGCACAAGAATCACTGTCCCGAGCCCCACTTGTGGGGGACCGTCCCAAGCCCAAGAGAAACCGTATCAGGTGACGGTCCTACGTGGGGCACTGCCGCATCCCAAGGCTCCTCCTCGAACTTAACGAGAAACTGAAGCCGATCAAAAACTCCGCGGCGAGAGCTCAACAACCATGAAGCTGAGTCAGGAGTCAGCTTGTAGGTCAACTCGTAAGTGAATCCCATCCTTGGCTTCAGGAAGCAAGAGCTTGCAGGGGTCGGCGGGAGCACACGGGCGCTGGCTCCGTCGCCAAGTCCTGATAAACTCCACCTCGCGAGCCTGGCAGCCGAGGTAAAAGCAACAGACAAGACGAGTCTGACATACAAGAGCTGAACCCCATCTTGATAGTCAGAATTGTCATGACAACAACGTGGCAAAGCCACCAGGACGACATCAACTCCAAGTCCCCCCCCCCCCCCCGAGCCTTTCCAGCAGCTCCCAGTCGGTCCGGTGACTTGGTAGGCAAACTTATCACCTCCGAGCACCTCACTGAGGAATCTTCATAAAAGCCAATGGAGCCAGGGTTTCGGAGAAGGCCTAAACCCAAAAGATCAACTTCGCGGCATGAGGACCAGTGAAGCTGATGCCTTTTTTTGATCTCGGCCGTTGTGGCCTTTAACATGTTGCTTCAGCATCACGTAAGCTCATGACATTCTTTTCCAGCAAGGTAATAAAGTAATTACTGAGAATTTAGCCATCCACATTACTCCTTCTATTGGTTTTTGACTTGTGATGATACTGTTCATCCTGACCATGAGCTTTCCCTGAATTGCATCATGATACAGTGTAGCTTGTATTAGCGATTACTAGCGTCCATGTCTGATGTGTTGCCCAAATGCGCGAGTATGACGAGAGTAAGGTGTAAAGCTGCAAGCACAGTCATGACAGAATCATGAATAACAAGCCAAACCAGCGACAACACCGTTCCGAATGACCCCAGCATCTCAGAAAAAGAATGTCATGGCACTAAAACTGATTCATGCCCGAGACAAGCCGTGTAAATGTCACACCACAACCATGTTTGGTGGTAGTGGCAGCTTCTGGCACAGCGGACAGCACCAAGGTACCAAGAGAGCCTTAAAATTCCTCTTCCGAACCTTTGGCTCACTGGCAGAACGGGACTGTCTGGGACTCCTCTACGGAGACGGGTTCGGAGAAATGCGTACGAAAACACTCGAAATACACCTTTCTTGGTGTTGCCGCAGTTGACAGGCGAGTCCAACTGTGATTCCATTTGTGGTTGAGACTACTATGTGGACTACCAGTACTATTCAACTCAACAGTGGTTACTATTCGTTTCCGCGACTGCTGCTGGTAATGCTACTACTCCTGATACTCCTCCTTCTACGACTACGACTACGACCACAAGATTACTACGACTGCTGCCAGCCCTCGGCTGCTGCTGCTGCTGCTGCTGCTGCTGCTGCTGCTGCTGCTACTACTACTACTACTACTACTACAACTATCCAGCTTTCTGCTTCGATGACTATGAGATCAGCCTTTCCCACCGCTCTCACGTTAACCACAAGAAAGCAAGGCGGCTCGAGCGTCTGCAGAATGCGTGCCGGGCTGCAGGTTGCATGATAAATGACAGACACGCGGGATATGCAACCCAGCACGCACTAATTACAAATGTCAGCACCTTGCAAATTCCTAATTTGTTCATGACATCTTGGCTCCGAGAGGGTGTGCTGAAGTGAGAGATCTGCTGAAAGATTTGCAGAGCTGTCAACCAAAAAACTCTTAAGCTCTGCAAAAAGTGCGCTGGGCAGCATGGCAAGACGGATATTTGCTCGCGCCTGCTCATGCTCCCGACACGTGCTCAGGTTCATCGTGTCTAGGAACAGTGTCGGGATCCTACGTACAGCTGCCTGCTGCGCGGGTCTTCCCTGCAGCAATTTGATCTGCTTGCCGAGGAAGCTGGCTTCAGATCAGTCAGTTGGCTTCAGCCCTGGGCAAACAGCCTCCTCGGCATGAGGCAACTGAGGCAAAGACTCCATGACTAATTCGGGCCCTCAGCGGCCTGGGATGCCAGCTCTCCGTCAGAGATTGCCAGGCAAAGTCTGCAGGCTCGCCAGTGGATGTGCGGGCACTTGAGGGGTCGGGGCCATCGGCCGTCGGGCTGCAGATGACAGCTGATACTGATCATGCGTAACGAAACATATGTGTGTATATATATAAATGTATTGATTTATTTGTTTATTCATATATATATATATATATGTGTGTGTGTGTGTAGCTCTCGTATTGCGCTCTGACAGTGGTTTCTCGAGTCTTTTAGAATGCAGCTTCCACCCTCAAGTGTCCTGGAAGGCGTCCACCAGCATTCGTGCAATACGCATACTCGTGATGCATGTCCGAAAACGTCGCGCCATGGTAACAGACAGTGACCAAATGCAAGCCACTATCGTGCTCAAAAGGCTAGCTGGAACAGCACATAACAACACCATTTTGGTGTGCCTTAGCCGCCAGAACAAACTCATGTTTGAGGCTGCCTGCCAAGTGCACGACGGCGATGAGACATCGTCCACTCGGCAAGACTTTTTGCAGCAAAGGCAGGGAGAAAAGCATCCAGAATGCAAAGGCGATGTGCAGGCAGCATCAGCCCCTTCGAGTCTAAGAGCGATGATACATTTTGCTGAACAAACAAGGATGAAGCCTCGTTCCGATTTCTATCTGTGGGCATGCTGACCTGGGTCGCTGAGTCTAGAAAGAATCGGAAGATCTATGCACTCAGAACTCTGTCTGCCTTGGTTCCGATGCCTTTCACAGCTCCAGGAACCTGCACCCACGTGACCCGGTAGCTTCAGAAGGAAGAAAGTGAAAGCTCCCGCCCGCCTTTGGCCACAAAAGGTTGGCCAACTGCAAAGCCTCCTTGGGCTTGGGACAGCCGTGGAACACCATCGCCTGGTGTTTGTTACTTGTAATGCAAGACGAACTTCCAAGCTCGAGTCTGGTCTAGATATAACACCCTTTTTCAGGACTGCAGTGGCCACATCTCGACTGAACGGGACTGGTTGGAGCAGGAGCAGACGGTGAGGCTCCGACGGCTCGCAGCAGCTGCGTCAGCCGCGAGTCCGATAGTGAGCTGTACCATCGGGAAACTTCGTACCACGCCTCATAGTCATCAACATTTTAGGGTTTTGAGCTGCGTTCGTCAGATCTCCTGTCGACCACATGAGCGCACATAGAAAAGACCAGGCAGGTCTCTCAACTCGCCCAGCTTTCGGATTCGGCTGACCCTAAAACAGTACATCCCTGAACCCCGAAAGCCCTACAGACCCTGAAACCCTACAATAAAGGCACTAAGCCCATGCAAACCCTTGAGCCCTTCAGAGGGCCTAAAAGAATCCGAAATCCTAAACTTTGAACCCATGAATCCCAACATTTGCCAACACGCCTCGGCGGGCAACATCGGCCGTGATTTCGACTCTGTGAGGATCTCATGGAGGGCCTCTGAGATCAGGTCTCCCCCATTGCGTTTCGGGTTTCGGGCTTCAGATGCTCTGAGGATTTGGGGTCTCAACCCTCCGGGTTTGCAGTTTCGGTTTCGGGCTTTGCCTTTGAAATTGTTCCGACTCAGGGGCTTCTAAACCCTAAACCCTAAACCCTAAACCCTAAACCCTAAACCCTAAACCCTAAACCCAAAGGCTTCGGCGCCTGAAGGAACTTTCCCCAGGTCTCGTCTGGCTTGCGGGACCAGTGCGCCCGATTCTTCGACAGCTCGCAGAGTGCCTGGGACCCATTCGCTGAGGATTTTGGGGTTTTGGAGCTTTTGTTGAGGTTGGGGCTCTTTGGGGTTCTTTGGGGCTTAAGTAGTTTAGGGCTATGAAGTTTTGGACTTTGGGCTTTGGGGCTTTGGGACGTTGGGGCTAGGCGTTTAGTCTTGGGGTTGAGGTTTCGGGCATCTGGGTTTGGGTTTAGGGACATGCAGGGCTTTCGCAAACGCCGTCTATGGCCCCGGCCGCAATCAGGAGCATGACCTGCGAAACGCAGAGCAGCAAATCTTCCAGGCGAGCTTCTTAGGGGACATCCCCTAAACCCTAAACCCTAAACCCTAAAGCCTAAAGCCTAAACCCTAAACCCTAAACATCCTGGCTTCGGAGGGTTTGAGTCTGACCTGCCTGCTTCGAGTTCAGCTGCAAAGCATCCGCAGTCGGCCGGAGGGTCTCATCCATTCTGCCAGGATCGCTGTCAAGACACTCGGGTTTAGGGTTTAGGGTTTAAGGTTTAGGGTTTAGGGTTTGGGGTTTAGGGTTTAGGGTTTAGGGAACCCTCGTCTGGAATTCAATGCAGTGCACGCAGCGTGCACTCGCAGAAACCCAACCAAGAAGCCGGGTTTCTGACATCCTCATGCCCATGCCACAATTAAAGGCCCATCGCTTCTTTGATCGAAACTCGCTGAAAGTCGCATTATATTATATTATATTATTTTATTTTATTTTATATTATATCATATCATATTATATTATATTATATTATATTATATTATATTATATTATATTATATTATATTATATTATATTATATTATTTTATTTTATATTGTATCATATCATATTATATCATATTATATTATATTATATGATATTACACCGAAACCCCACGCCTCGGCCATCCTTCGCGGCCTGGGCTCCCCTCGCCCTGCGGCGACCCGGGTCTGGCGCCTCAGGGCTTCGACTTTGCTTCGGCCTCTCACAAAAAAAAAAAAGCAAAGAGGTCGACACAGGAGCACAAACCAACGATGATAATGGATAACATGACGAAGATGAAGATGGAAATGGAGATAGTGAATGAGGACGATGAAGGATGATGATGAAGACGCTAATGGTGGCAGCGGTAGTGCCGGGGGCTGGTGGTGGCGGGTGGTGGCGGGTGGTGGCGTGTGCTGGCGGGTGGTGGTTCCGGTGTCGCTAGCGCTGGCAGAGTTGACGGTGCTGGTGACTACTGCAGTTCGGATAATGATCTTGTTGGTGTGATCTTTTATACTGCTGTCTTTTCCCGTATTTCTCTGTTCGCTTCTCGTAGCCACTGCTGTTACAACTGTTGCGAGGACTCCCGTTCCCCGTGCTCACGCAAGTCTCTCTGGATCCCATAACTGTCACTGTCGACTTTGGGATCGGAAGAAGAGGCCCAATCGTCCCTGAAGACTCTCTAATCGGATCCTAGTATCTTTGACGGTTGTAGGAGGGATTCAAGAGTGTGTTCGGGGGTCAGACATACGGAGACGCATCTTCTGAAGGGCAGGTCTTCATGGCAGAATGCAGCGCACAACATACGGCAGTTTGACATAAACTGGATTCTCAATAGATTCAACGGATTGACTCACTAAGGCCCCTCCAAAACCTTGCAAGTGGCCAGCCGAAGCCAAGCCCTTCGTTGGCGAAGCCAAACCCTTCGTCCGGGAAGGCGAGGTAACCAGGGGCACCTGAAGACATGGTCTCATAGGACATAAAGGCGCGGGAAAACCAGCAATCAGAATCTGCTCGAGGGCTCGGGCTCTTGAACTGTACTTTGAATCCAGAACGTGTGAAAAGTCTTCCGACAGCTTTATCACCCAAGGCCGCTGGCACATGCCTAAGAGACTTTCAGTTTGTTCTGAACAGCAGGTTCCGTTCTCTGCGCCCTCAAGCTCAACTATCCGTCGTTGAACATCGTACCTTCTGCAGGCGAGCCCTGTTGCTTGGGTGCTGAGATCCTATGTCGCCCTACGCCGCTCCACACGGTGCCATAATGAAGCCTAAGCGAACATACGCAAATCGGATGATCCTCTTTATACACATTGCCACATGAATACAATGCTCAAGTCACTGTTTAATGTTCACAACGGTTCCAGCCAGGACTTACGAATACTCCGACTCGCCGTACTCAGTCTGCTTGCCTAGACTCAAGCGCAGTTGCATTCAGCAAGGCTCAGGACACGTTACGGGCAGTATGCATGATCCAGTTGCGACTTCTCCTTCATTTCGCTGAGAATCATTCCATTCAATCACTGCGCACTGCGACAACAAAACAGACTTTAGAGGGAATAACCCCACCTGAGGGCTAGGTGTTTCACACCTTTAATCGAGCTTCCCTGCCTTCGCAGTCATGCCACTCTCAAGATCGGCTCGGGCCGCGCCTGACCGCGCCTGATCTCAAATCTTCTGCAGAGATGGCATACAGCTCTCCCTGCTCTAAACCCAAGACTCCAAAACCCCAGAAAGCCTCCCAAAGTCCCTAAACTTGACCTAGGGCCTGCAGGGTTCCCCATGGCCTCTCTCAGCTGCGCCAACCGCGGAGCTGCAAGCGCAAGCAAGGACGCGGCACCGATACTCAAAGTGGAGGATGCCAGCCTGGGACTCGGAGACGCAATTCGCTAAGATCGGAGAGGGATCTCGACTCTTGCTACAGCCGGGAACCCAGCTTCCCAGAATCAGGGCCCTGCACGAGCAAGAGCTTGCTATTTTAGTTTTTAGATGTATTGGATCGCTTCAGAGCTGATGACACCCCTCGACACTCGGTCTCAAGGCGGTGATGAGGAGCTCACGATCCGACAAAACACCGACAAAGGGAACGAACCAACGCTCAGAAAGTGCGATGCGGTCAAAACTGGGAGCAGTGAGTCTCACTGACCACGGCTTTCTGGCAAACCCCGCTGAGAGGAGGCTTCGGGCAAAATGCAAAAAAGGCAAGCTTCAAGCTCTCTTGTTCAGAGTTTCATCCTGCAGCTTGGCAGCGCAAACACGGGTGGAAGGAGCTCAGCAATCGTCCCGGGCCCGCCGGGCATCGAAGAGAGCTGCAGTGCCGCAATGGCACGGCCCATCCCCACCAGCAGGAGGAAAAGGGAGAGCCTCGGATTCTCAGATCTCAGCTCCTGGCCCCAGGCTCTCCAGTCATGGCCAGGATGCAAATAGAAAAGAAGCCGGTGTCGAACGCTTGCTCTTGGTGATCTCCGGGTGCCCCCTTCCTGGCAGTGAAGAGAAGATAGAGGAAGAATTGATATCAGGCAAAAAGAAGGACACCCTAGCTGAGCCAGCGGAACCTCCGCAAATTCGTCTGTCACACACAACCCCCTTGTTTGAAGCAGTGTCCTGCAGAATTTCGGAGGTCAGAAGCACCTGGATAGCGACGGCCAGACCAGCAAGGCACAGCATCACATCCTGCGTTTCATTGTGTCACGCCCCACGGTTGTGGGACTGCGGCATTGAAACCCAGGCAGATGTCGAAAGCAGGAAAAACTGAGTTTCCAATCAAGACGAGGCACGAGCGCCGAGCCGCAAAGAATCTCAACCTTTGCCATCCCGGTATTGCCGTGCATCCTATAGTGGCTCCCCGCTATAACCAGAGCCGAAAACTAAACTTTCCTGCGGAGGCATCAGTGTAGCCATGGAAAAGCACACCTTGGTCAGGGCAGGTGCCAGGCCTCAGGGACACTGTTCCACACCCCCGAGTTCTTGCACTCGAAGGACAAGTTCTTGCCGTTGTACATCATGGGCCTCGGAGCCGGCGAAGACGGACAGCTGCAGTGAGACTGATGATAATCCTCATCGTACTCCTAACCCTCATCCTCATCCTCATCCTTCCAACTAGAGAACAATGAGAACAGCTCATCCACTTCCTATGCTCCAACTTGACGGCAGCTATACGCTGACGTCCGCCCTGCGCCCAGGACCAGGGAGCTGACGGACAGAGCTCAGTCCAGCCAGTCTTGCCATCCGTGAACATCGGGTTCCTGGGGCCACAAGGGGTGAGCCGACCGAGGCGACGAATCCGCAGCCAAGGGGCTTGATGAGATTTGCATCCGAGGCCAGGTCTGCAAGAGGATGCCAAGTCGGCACAAAATCTCTTAGACATGACATGCACCGCGAAGGCCCTTCGAGTGGCTTGTTTTTTTGCCGGGCTCTCTCTTCTTCTCCTCCCCTTTTTCAAAGCCTGCGACTCAAAAACCCTTTCCTGCCTTTCCCATCAGACTGCTCCACCTGAAAGATGTCGTACCTTTCGAACTCTGTTCCACCTTGTGAGCTCCCGTGGGCTTCACCTGCAACCAGGCAAGCCAAGTATCTCGAAAGATGGGCCGCTGGACTTGAAGGGCAGGACAATCGCCAAAAGTCTGGATATCTACAGACCAGGGCACCTTCCCCATCATCTTGGACCAAGGATGTAGATCCAGAAGATTGACAACTCCTCAGATGAGCTCAACCAGGATCAGCAAGTCCCGGTTGACCGGCCACAGCCCCAAAAGCAGAACAAGCAAGACTTGTTTCAACCTGCTGTGGACCGAGCAGCTTGAAAAGTAAGCAAGCCTTGCAATTCGCCGCAAAGTGAGTGGCAAAGAACTTGCAATCCTCGGCTGTCTGCTCGGAGAGCACTACGCGTGCAATTCTTCTGCTGCGACGGCCACCTTGACCGACGAGCACAGGGAAAAGCACTCATCCAGCGAATCGACGTTGCAGACACCTGCCGCTGTCGCCCCGGCAATTTCAATTGCAGATGGTGCAGGCGCTTGCTATAGCGGAATTGTGGCCGTCTCAACACCGTTCCGAGGATTCCCGGAAGTACGATTATCATGAGTGTTGCTGATTGCTTCTTGAATCGAACCAAGGGGTCCCCTGCCTGGCTTTTCCTTGGTCGTGATCAGCTTCCACTCCAAGACTTTTCCGTCAGGAAGTACAGGATGCTCCTCTACGACAAGGTTTCGGCAGCTCGGGTATGGGCTCTTGAGACACAGCAAAAGACGGCTATCATAACACCGTTTGGCATGCATTCGTCTCCTCTTCCAGTGCATCTTTGTCAAACATGTCTTCGGTGTCACATACGCCTGAGACAAGGATCCACGGCAGAGTGAGTTACTCCATGGCACCACACTGGCAGCTTGATTTCGGGTTGGGGACATGCGTAAGTGCACGAGGGTGAATGTCTTGCTTTGCTCGAGTGAGTCTGAATGCTGCTGGATGATAAACACAGAGATACTGCGAGAAAGCTGCAAATCGGCTCCCTTACCCTTCTTCGTCATGCTGTGCTGAAGCAGGCCCGAAGCGTCAGTTGCGCAGAAGGATTGGCCACAGGCCACAACTTCTGTCCGAGAGGCCGTTGGCGTACTTCGTGTAGGCTACGGAACTGGTAGACGGAGAGTTGAGGAGCTGAACAGTGTCTCCCACCCCTGACAAGGGAAGACTCATGACTCACATCACAGGAAACTGCCATACTCGAGGTGTTGCTCAAGCACGACTCCCTCTGATGTGCCTGCCATGCCGAAGACCATCACCTGGGGCTCCAAACGGTGAATGTTGATCCCTAGTTTGTCGCACCTACCTACTGCATTCCGAGAAGATCCTGAATCTGAACATCGGATGGTTGCTACCGTAAGCTAGCAACGCTTCCATGACAAAAAACGCCCTCACTTCCAAAACTGTTCAGGCTGGCGTCGGGCGTCTTGCAAAAGAGCGAAGACTTCGCTGCAACCTCATCAAGCTCGGCTGAGTAGACCTGAACACGCGGCTTACTGCGGGGGTCCGGTCGTCTTCCGTCACTGTCGGGCTGGTGGACCGCCCCCTGCTTGGGCACGCCAGGCTGCCCGGCTGGAGTTTGAGAACTGTGAGGGGAGGCTTTGGGAGTCCGGGCAGCCACAAAGGAGCAGATCACCGACCCCCGCACAGACCAACAAATCCGCAATCCTTTGCTCTTGGACCAGAACTGCAATCACAAGCTTCTCTGTCACTCACTGTAGGCCCGCACGGAGCCAGAACCCGTCAAGGCAAACTTCTGTCCCGCTGCCTCCGCTACGGGAGTTTTGATGTCATGCGGCTTTTTGGTAGGACTCTGTGCTGCTTCGGCTGGTGCCAACCGTACGGGAACTGCATGCACAAGGACAGGCCATGTCATGTCTAAACTTCAAAGAGAATGGCTCAAGGCTTGGATTCCAGGCTTTTCGCTCCTACTAATTTGTGCCTCGCAGGTGGTGGCTTGCGTGCCGATGATCCTGGGTCGGGCTGACTGGACAGACTGGGCAGGCTGAACCGTCTGGACTTCAAACCGGCAAGCCTACACCATCTGCGGCGCTCTCCCTTTGACGAACAGGCATGAATCATGAACGATGGCTGTTCGAGCGCCATCCAGAGTTTCCTACCGACTGTAGAGATGAACAGGCACTGTGGGCACGGCTCTCCAGCGGTGTCTCGATTCTTCTTGCTGCCGGGCATCTGCACGTGCGTCAAGGCTACAGGGAAGAGCGTGAGATCCTCGCAAGGCCGAGGCTCTTGGACATCATACGGAGGCTTCGCTCACGGAACACCCGAAGAATAGGTCTACGACGCAACTGCCCTATCCGGAGCCCTCCCGCAGGAGCCTGGAAATAGGCCGATGGGAGCAGGGTCATTGATGCTTTGCTGCCAGGAGTGTCACTGTGCGATGTACCGGCGATTTTCGCACCTGACATCTAAGTCGCGTGCGCGAGATGTGTGATGCCAACCGGAGAGGAAGATGGCTTGTCGACTGAGTTCGCAGCCACCTGTAGTGGACCATCGACAGACCTTGCCCATTGTGGAGATCAACCTGACATGTTGCAAGCATGCAGAGTGCACTTAGTTTAGATGCTCCGGTCGCGCACGCCCGTCTTAGTCGCAATCATGATCAACAATGCAGCATTATGGCGATGCCGATAGGGCTGACACTGAAGCCGATGGCTCGGCCGATGCCGACTCTGATGCTGATGGCTCGAATATGACAACAGTGATGACACATGAAAGCGAAGACAAAGATGATGATGAGAAGTGCCCGATGGTGGGGCTGATGGTCGCGGTGGTGATGATAATTTATGACGATGATCATCAGTCGTCAGCATCATCATCATCATCATCAGCAGCAGCATTACATCAAAAACCTCGCAACTGAAAACCCAATGCTTCATTGAATGAATGAACACACAGACATAAGTTGAAAGACAAAGAACCAACACGAAGAGCAAATCAACGATCAACAAGCCACGGCATGTATAGCAGTGGTGACAGCATCAGCACCAGCAGCAGCACACCACCACCAGCAGTACCAGCAGAACCACACACCCAGACGACAGTGTAAAGCCTCCACACCTTAACCCGTGCTCGTTTCGAAGGTCTAGGAGCCAGTATGTTTCCTCGACCATTGCGGAGTTGTCGTAGGTCTTCTGCGTGCCATCAACGCACTCCTCCACGAGCACCTGGGCCTGAGAGATGCTCTCAGGAGCCCTAAAAAAAGGGCAGAACACTTCAAGCCCACAGCGTTGGAGCGGGTCCCGGGAACAAAACTTCAATCCGTTACACCGGACCGAACCCTTCCTGTCCCCGGAGCCCCGCTATTTTCTTCCGGTTCTCGCTCCCCGGATACCCAGACACTACATGAAGGCACAAGTCAGAATCTAATTAGTCAGTTGCTGGCGAAAGCGCCCGAGAACAAGTTGGGAAGTGAACTCAACTGTGAAACAAGGCTCCCTGCCTCGCGGTCGAACGCCATCACGGCACAGTACTCGTTGCAAACGCCATAGACAGCCTGGCAGTCGGTCCCGCTTTGTTCGCTCGGCGCATCGGAACCTCAAGACAACTTCCTACACCCGCAGACGCTAAGATCATCGTGAGTTGGATATATACTGCAGCGGTCTTGTGAACAGGAAAACATCATAACACAGACGCTTCCACACTCACAGTAGCAACGCTGCAGAAACTCTCGACTTGAGCCTCGTCCACCGGAGCTAGCTGAACGAAATCCGATTCTCCCTCCATGGATTGCACGACGACGTCTCCTTCACAAGGCGGCTTCATGGACTCCAAGATGTCACGATGTACCGCTTCGGGGTTTGGCCTAGTGGGTCAAGGGCTAGGGGCCTTCAGCCAGCTGGTGAGAAGGATGATACTCACATTTCTGCCGCTCTTAGTCGAGTGCTCGAAGGGGAGCAATGGATTCAAGTGCGATATCTTTTCGTCTGCTCCGACAATATGGGCTGGATGCGAGGAATGGCTTTCAACATCTTATCACCTCTCGCTGCCCTTGTGCCCATATCGAGTCCCTGTTTCGTTGCCCGAAAAACGGAATAATGGAAGGATGATCAAAAAATTCGCATGTAGATACAAGCATGGAAACATGAAATGCAGCAAAAGGACTCGGAATAGGGCGAACCCGAGTAAACAAAGTTGAAATTTACGACGGAAACCCTGAGACCGTGGACAGACGGCTTAGTGCAAGTCAGGCTAGCCAGACATCGACAGGTCAGACAGACAGAGATGGAGAGAGAGAGAGAGAAAGCGAAAGAGATAATGATGATGATTATTATGACCATGATGATGATGGTGGTGATGATGATCATGGCGGTGGTGATGATGGTTGGCAAACTCGACAACCTGAAGGAGCTACGGGTGACTGGCCTCTCCTCGCCCAGCCCAGAGTCCCAAAAATGACGGAGGCAGGGCCAACTAAACTGGAAGGGGGACCCTGTGGTGGTGAGCAACTCGGAACTTGAACCACACAAGTAGAAATGGGCAGGAAGCCCTAAACACCAAAGGCGAGTGGACAAAGGCACAACATGGACATCCGCGAGTGTTATGAGTGTTATGCAGCGCCAAGCATCCAGAGCTGGTCAGCTGGACCACATCGTTCTGAAGAGAAGTGAAGGTCCTTTGAACCGCGGCGCCCACTCACTCGAACCCAGAAAATCGGGAAATCTGGCAGCCGAGGATCTGAATCTGCCCGCGGGTGAAGATCTCCCCCTTTTCAGCCAGAAGGATGCGTGGGAGCAGAGACTTGCACATGGCATCAGCTTTGCCATCTTGAAGGCATGAAACGACGCACCTCTGCCTGCTGGCTCCTCATCGTTGTGATGCTGGCCTCGACCAAGGCATGCATCTTCACAGTTCGTGAAGGCATCGACAGAATCTGCTTGTCAGCACTTGCTTGCCGTAAAGCGTATGCTGTGCCCGGCCTGAGCCGGCTGTGCGGAGTAGATCTTCCACCGAGCTGGGGACGCTTCTGAGGCATTCCGAAAGATGCCTGGAACCAGAAAGAATGACGGCGGTAGTCTCAACCGACTTCTGGCAGCCAAGTGACCGATGAAGGCCGTCCCAGCAAGTGCCAGATTGCTCCATTCTGTTGCCTGCGTTCGGCCCAAGTTGAGGCCGTACTCTCGAACCCAACTTTGACAAAAGCTTGGCTTGCAAGAGCAGGCTCCTTTCCATCTGACAAGCCCACAATCGCGGCAGCCACTTTGTAGGACCTCCCACTGTGGGGCCACTGGAAGTTCACGGGATTACGGAGTCACGGCACCTCGTTGACCCAACTGCAGAGGTGATGTCCCCCAAGGTGCTCAGGTGAATCGAGGAGGGCCGCCTTGCAGAAAAAGGGCGCTTCTGAGATCGCGAGTGCTCCTGAAACGGCTGAAGCCGAGGGACATCGCTTCCTCGCTCCGACCGGTCTCAGCTCCCAGGTTCACATAGGACCAAAAGCGAACCTGAAGGAACCGGCGCGCTCCGAATCCTGGGGAGTTCCCATGCATCTCCCCAGCCTCTGATGACCGGCTTTCCTCCTCATTGATCCTGGCAAGTCACACAATACAAGGACACCGTCCAGCTGGGCACGAATCTGCTGCGCATTCATCGCATAAGCGAGTCTTCATGAATTGCAAAAGGCCTCACCACGGAGTCTGCGCCCAGATCACCACTTCCTTTGTGAATCTTCAGATCGACGTCGTCCTCCTGAGACAGCGGAGACTATACTTCGACTCCTACCGGGTCTGCTCTCGAAAAGCGCTCCAGCTCTGCCAGCCCGGAGAGCAGGAGATTGCTGATGTCGCTTGCCTGATAGAAGCAACTTCTGCCTCATGGAGAAAAGCGAGCTCGGGCGGTCCTGCAACTGTGATGCCTCGGCCGAATCAGCATCCTGCGAGGTGGGCAGAGGGAAAAACTTCTCTGCCAACTTTGCAATCTCTGTCAGCTCAAAGCAGCCCCTACCTGTGCCACCTCGGCAGTCTGGTAGCCTGGGTAAAGCACAAGAACTCGTGGTCTCTTGGGTTCTGGAGCAACGACTGACCGTCAGGGAAGGCAAGGGCAGGGGATACACGGACAGAAAGGGCTGAGGGCGCGCGGACGGGCGCCTGCGTTTCTGCGTTTGTTGTGCGAGTTCTTTACTGTCCTCCGAAGCCCGAAGCATCCGGAAAGATCCAGAAGAGGAACCTTACCCCGCACAACCCTTTGTGATCGGCCTTCGCCTCCAAAGTCTCCGGCAGCGCCGTCCTGCAGCCGCCACAGCCATGATCCGGACCAACCAAACCCCCAGACCCAAACCTGAAGAAAAAAAAGATCCACGTGGGCAGCGCTTTCTAAGCCTCAAGTCTCCAGAGCCGGCCTGTTCGAGCAGCGAGCTTCCTTGGCTGTCAACGTAGGCTGCGATACCTCGGCGTCGGCGAACTGTTCAGGCCAATGGCGGGCAAACCAGCGTTCCGTTTTCGATATGAGAATGAAAATTAGAATGATAATAACAGTGATAACAATCATACTACTGATAACAATGTAATAGCAACAACAATATGAATAATAACCAGAATAAACACTAATGACAATATAAGCGAATTTGCCGCCCCGGCCTGCCCGACCTCGAACTGGAGCCTGGACAGGATCTCTATGGCTGGCAGGGACAGACTGATCCCGACGGCTTCCTCATGAAGCAAAACTGCAAGATGGGTAGTTGTCAAAATTATGGTCCCTTTTGGGGTACCCTAAATAATAGGTGCCGTATTATAATAAGGACCCAAAAAGGGACATAATTTTGACAACCACCCAGATCGCAGTCTCGCAATGAGGCCCCATGGCAGGCATATAGTGCTCAAGTTAGCATGCACATACTGTGACCACAACCCGGGCCGAAACGGACACTCGCAATGCTGTTACAGTACGACTACTGCTACTGCTACTGCTACTGCTGCTGCTGCAACTGCTGCT